GTTGAGCAGGGTGAGGACGGTGTGCACCACGAGCGCGCCGTTGGGCGTCGCGCCCGCCATCCGCGCAAACAGCACCTTCTCACCGGCGCCGAGCAGCAGCTGCGCAACGGCGACCGGGAGCATCGCCCACGCGATCCACCACGCGGGCGCGCCCGCGAGGCTCGAGCGAGAGCTCGACGAGGTGAGCAGAGGCTCGTTGAGGCCCTGGAAGCCGCCGCTCTTCTTGCGGTTGCCCTCCTGGAAGCGCAGCGCGCTGGGAGTCTCGAACATTTCGAGTGCGGGGAGGTCAAGTGGAAGGTGGCCTTCCCGGGGCGGCCGCGTGAGGCTGCGGACTTTGCCAACTCGGCAGTCGGCCTCCGACTGAAGTGAGCAGCGTCGCCAGCGAATAGGACCGCCGCAGTGGAGTGGGGCGGTTGAGCATCCCTCCGGGGGGCCCCTGCGAGCTCGCAGGAGGAGGGTCGAGGAGGGGGGTCGAGGCAGGCGGGAAGGGGCTGGGGTGTGGGGCGGGGCGGGGATTGGAGACGACCTGGGGGAGAGGAAGAGGGGTGGGGAGGAGGGCCGGGCACCCGCACACGGCCCGCCGCCCTTCATGACAATCATGAGGTGAGAGTTCCCTCGATCGATGCGGACGAGCCCGAGGAGCGCCGCGTAGGCGTACTCGCGCACACCAAGCTCATTCACGTAAACGCACAACCCCCCGGGCCCGAAATCGCACAGAGTCACGCAACACGGGGTCCCAGGGAAGGCGAGCAAAAAGCTCATTCACAATCTGCTCTCGCATCGCGCTGTCGGGGTGATCCGAGCACCGACGCGAGGCTGCCTCGTGCTCGACGTCGACAAAGCGGATGACTCGTATCACGTATGTCTGCATTCCGAGTATATAGTTGTATCGAATGCTTGTGCGGCTTGGCCTGACCGGCCACGGCCGCCGCGAGCAGCACGGCCATTTGCGGAATATGACTCAGCACGGTTGCGTACTTTTACCTTGTACCCGGGTACTGGGAGAAGCGCCCGCCTTGCAAACATGGGCTGCAAAGCAATGCGTGTTCTGTGATCTGTGATCTGTAAGGGTCCGCCCGCAGGCGCATTTTGTATACCGAGGCGGTGCCCGGTGCCGAGCGCAGGCAGAGCCCACAGGTCGGACCTTGAGACAGCATTGTAGATCCCTGGGCGAGGGTGGTGGAGGGGGCGGTCCGTCGGCGCCAAACCACCTCCCACCGAGGTGGGCAGGTTCCACGCGTTCCCGGACGCGGACCGCCCCGTTGGAGGTAGACCGCTCGTCTAGCCAATCAGCCTTAAGCGAGCGGTCTGGCCGTTGGAATGGCCGAGGAGGGGAGGACGACTGTCCCTGACGGCGGACCGCAGTTACGCCGCCCTCCCCCGATGCGGACATGCGGGGTTCGGGAAGGTCAATGACCTACCTAGTTAGCCGACATGCCAGGCATGTGCGGCCGTTCGGAGTCCCCCCTCGTAGACGTGTGCCGATGGGATCATTCCAGTACGCCCGGAGGGCGACGGTCCTCCGGTAGTAGACGTTGGCGCCGAAGACGGAGGAGTCGCCGAAGGACGGGTAGTCGTCGGTCATGCGGGGGGAGGAGTCGTCGGCGAGCAGTAGGGAGGAGAAATGCCAAACCACATCCCACCGAGGTGGGCAGGTTCCACGCGTTCCCGGAGCAGCACTGCACGGAGAGGCGCAGCAACCTCGACCCGGGTGTTGCTCGTGTCGAGTCCGTAACGCCCGCCGGGCGAATACGATTGCCTGGCCCTATCGCCAAACGGCCCTGCTCCTCCTCTTGTCTGGCAGCAAACGCAAGCTGCGGCACAGGCCGCATTGGCGCAGAGGAGGCGACAACCCTCAACGCGCCTACCCGTGGCATGCCGCCGGATCGAGCCAAGACTAAGGCTGCACGCTGCAGGATTCGGCCCCGCCTGCTGCGAGTGCCCTCCCGTTGAGGTATCCATCGTATTTACAGTGGGGTTAGCGCGTCGGCAGGATCCCAAAAACAGTCCTCCAAACGCCCCAAACACGCGCGCGTGAACAGGGCCCCAAATGAATTCGACCGCCCAAAGCTGTCCCCCCCCCCCCCCCCCAAAACCCCAAACGTACTTTAAACGACCATCAGTAACCAGCCTCCGGCGGGGCCCCCCGCTACCCAGCTATCGACCGACAACGCGCACAAAAACACGAGAGCAATACTGTTCAAGAAGAAATTTAACAAACAAAACAGCTTGTGAAGAAGCAACGCACCCATAAACGCGCTACGCGTACCCTCAGGCTGCTGCAGCGAGAGCTGAGCGGGAGTACGGGACGTCGGCCAGCAGGTCTCGGATGGCACCAAGCCGTGACTGAAGGCTGCCCTCGAGCGGCTCCAGCTCCAGCATCTCTTCAGCTTCTTCTATCAGACGTAGGAGCGGCAGCTGCTCGTCCAGCTCAAGTGCCGCGCGGATGCCGTCCGCCTCCAGCAGGAGCCCTAGGGCTACTGGGGCGGCCAAATTCACACCTCGCGGAACTACTTATGTTTTCGTAAACGTAGTCGTGGCCCCCCGCTACTTCGCAAGAGTGCGACTGGGTAGCGGGGGGCTATAAACTTCAGTCTCCCAGGGCACACACACACACACATCCACCACACACACACACTCACACACACACACATACACACACACTTCACACACACACAAACTCCGCGAATTTTGTTATCGGCTTGTCAATACCTGTCATATTGTTACCCATCAACCAGTAGGAGGCCCGCGCCTGCCCCCGTGCCGCCGGGTGCAACTTTGTTTGGCCTATCTATACGAACGAGAGTCGAGAGGGGAATCTCTGGCTGGGACCCTGTCGTGACTCGTGTGGGTGAACCCAGGTCCCAGCCCAGCCCCTCCTCCGTGTCGCGATGCGCTCCCCACTCCCGTTCCCCCCTGTGTCCCTGATAGTGCTTCCAAAATCTTGCCGCCGCCAAATTCTCCTTTTACCCGTCAAATGGCGGACGACGTGAGAGCGCTGCTCGCGTCGGTCGCAGCAGAGTCGGAGAGCCGGGCTGAGCGCTGCCTGGAGCTGCTGCAAGCCAAAGACGCCACGATTCGTCGACTGCAGAGCGAGGTGGCGGCGCTTGCTGAAGCGCCCGGGTCGAACGTCGAGGCGGTGGCACGGGTAGATGCCGCGGTGGCGCAGCTTCTCGAGGCGGAGGCTGCCGCCGAGGCGGCCGAGGCGCGTGCCGAGGCGTCGGAGCGGGCGAGGCGCGAGGCGGTCGCCGGCCAGGAGGCGGCCGAGGCGCGCCGTGAAGCCGCATCGCTCGCCGCGGCGCACTTGCGCAACGAGCGCTCCGCTTGGCTCGCGGCCGAGGCGCAGAGGCGCGTCGCGGAGAGCGCCGCCTTTGACCAGGCGGAGGCGTCGCTCCTCTCGCTCGCATCGGAGGGCCTCGAGCCAGAGGGGAGCCTGGCTGCCGCGGACAACCGCGAGGCGCTTGGTGCAGCGCTCGATGAGATTGCAGAGCTACGCGCACAGGTCGCTGCACTCAGCGGCGCGCTCTCGGCGGCAGACAGCGACACGCGCGCAGCGACAGAGGCGGCAGCTGTCGCGACTCGGGAGGCGGCGGCTCGCGCACGCGAGGCGGCCGAGGCGACGGAGGCTGGGCGGCGGGATGCGCTCGAAGCCGAGCTTCGCGCGGCGCGCGAAGCGGCGGCCGCGTCAGATGAGAGATGCGGCCGGCAGCTGGCAGAGCAGCAGCGCGCAGAGGCGCGGTTTGCGCGGCGCTACGAGGAGGAGGCCGCGGCGGCGGCGGGCAAGGAGGCGGCGCTGCGCGCTGAGGTGGAGAGGCTGCGTGAGGCGGAGGATCTGCGTCGGGCGGAGGCAGACGCCGCCGCCGGCGCATCGCTTGGCGCGCAGAGCGCACTCGCCGATGCGGAGATGCTGCGCGCTGACCTCGCCGAAGC